AATAAACGTTACAATCATTAATACAGTCATATTTCTAACACAAACTTGAGGCATTTCAGGCATTCACTAGGAAATGCATATAGTTGTCTCCTGGATCATCATCATCATCATCATCATCATTGCCATTTGCGCCGATAAGTGGTAACATAATATGTAATATACAAAAGAAGTATTATTTTACAATGAGGATGTACCGCGACGAGACTACAACAATGCATGTTTTACTGATATTATACAAATCCCATCAGACCTTGGACGAAATCCAAAACGCAGCAGTGTTGCTTCAGAATCTCGGTTTTGTATTATGCTATATACGTGGGGATATGATTCACGTCTCGGGTATAGTAATAATATTCGAGAAAGACCGCTCGCACAACAGTAGTTATATTTTATACACATATAGGTGCCTATACTAATGATCCAAGACATTTATTGCGGGACCTAAGGCCGTTCGTGTTCCGAGTAATTTGATCTACAGCTACCGCACGGCCGCTATTATATATTGTAGGTACTGTATATACCGCGGTATAGGTGTTCGTTTGAAGTGCGCGCGAGAACATCAATTCTTCGTGGTTCACGTAGTTTGCTGGAGCCCTGCTGCAGATGACGCCATTGTAGTGTAGGTTATACGACCTATCCGTCCGACGTGATGGGACTCGCGGTGGTTGGCGGTGCGTTTAAAATTATATAATAATAATATGATATTATTCCGAGGCCCCGGGCTCGCGACGATCAATTATATGATATATTTATATCATTATTATCATCCTGCAACGCATATAAACGCCGTATTCGCTGCCCGGTATTAACCGAAATATGGGTCGTGGTATACTGCAGTAGACGCGCCTGCGGCTGCAACCACCTGCAATATGCACAATAAAGATTTTAAAGATTCGCGCTGCCGCCGCCTGCACTATATTATGCGAGAAAGTATATTACACTGAAATCGACCTTTTCACGAAAAGTAGACTATTTCCATCTAAAATGAATATCATTTTGTTTACACTTTGTAAAAAAATTCATTTGGAGTGGACTGCACGTTTTTCATTTAATTAATAAACACTCAAACAGAACACCATGCAACTTTTTTTCACTATTTGGCTATCCACTTATATTAATAATGTTATTGTATATGCAACGTATGTTTATTTATTGTTGACGTTTCGATTTCGTCCTACAACTCTTACAAAACCAGCTTTAGAAATTCTGACTAGGCAGCTTGCATATACACTAACATTTAAAATAAATGCATTATTACATATTTTGTATAATGAATAGTGTATATATACGTGTAAAATGTATCCATAAGTGGGATAGAAAGTGAAAACATGTATAAATAATATTTGTATCTTAACCACAGATTTTAATGATGATAAATTTAAAAATGTGTTTCATAAAAAAGCTCAAAGCACATTATTCTAAATATATTGGAAAAACGCAATGTTTACACTTAGTGGATAATGATATTATATAATATAATAACAATATTTTAAAAATAAAATGTATTATTAATTAAATATCATTCATAAATTGTAATTAAATTGTTTGTATACAAAATAATTGTGTGGTAGTAAAATGATAATGTATTAGTCTGCAGCACATGAAAATTACCATACAGGATTTCCTACGAGACTACTCTCGTAAGATAATCATATTGTGTCAACAACACTGTTTAAAACAAATAATAATTAATTGTCTTACACGACGCGGATGGCCTACGGCCAAATCGTGAATAAAGTAGGTACACACCGTCAAAGTCGAGAATTGAATCCACTAAAAAAAGTCAACAGTCAACACGATGAACTCTTTTCAAATGTTTGACTATAGAAACGGGGTTTGCATACCTCGAAACTATATAGGTGCGACTTCTCTCGTGAAAGGGTCGATTTCTCCGCCAAGTGGAATAATAATTATATATTATATTTCATAAATCCGTAAATCTCGTCGAGACATCCTATTTTCGAAATTAGACGCACGCACGTGTACCGCTACATATGTATATAACCGTACATGCATGCATGTATGGTATATGGTTGTATATACATGGTATATGGTATACATGTTATACGCTCGTTGTTCGGAACGAGTAAAAGAGAAATAATAATATAATAGTATAATGATACGTATACGCGTTTCTATTGTTGCGCCTATATACCTATATATACCTGCACATAGGTAATATGTAACCGACTAACCTACGGCGGCCTGCGCATCTTTTCCGCACAATTCTCGCTCCTAATCCTTCTTTTCGGGCCGCCCGCGCTCGTGTGAGCCGAAAGCCGAAAGCCATGTAATTTAAGCTACTAAATCACTACTTATATATTATTTGGTATATAGTTATATGATGGGTACGCATCATCCTTAGCGGTCGGTCACGAAACTGACCTCTGCCGCGCTCGTCGCGTTTCCATATTAGAATTATTATTAAGAGACGGAATGTACACGACTGATGCAGTACTGCTGCAATTGTCTCACGGACCTTTCGTCCCGAGACGGACAAAGCCGCACCACCGCACCATATAATGTATAATAATATTATTACTATGCCTCCGCCGCCGCCGCCGCGTAGATAGGTACACTTCTGGGTGGTACTTAATAACGCATTACACGATGGAGAATATTCTCGACATTTCGTTATGCGTTATTCAATCTTGAGTATAATAATAATATTGTACACATATTATACGGGTGGAAATTAAAACCGAAAGAAGGAAAATAGAACCGTGTATATCCCCGTCGGGGTGTGTGCGAGGGGGGACGATGACCGCGGCGGTTGGTAATGTATACAGTGTCTTATAGGCACAAAAAGTACCTATGTTGTATAGTATACTTGTGACTTTCAATCGGGTTCTTTTACGCAAACGATAAGTTTCGAAAAAACTTTTAAGGGTGTACCTCAAGTTAAATCTTTTGAAGGTAATTACAGATCAATTCTAATTTCTTCGAAGAATATCGAATTCCGAGAGAATAGCTAATTATTTCATATTTTAATGAGCTGAATAATGGATCCATCATAAGCAAGCGGGGTACCTTCTGTGACTCTCATCTAAACCTTACAATGTTAATAGGAACATATCACTATATTTATATAGTCTGTAATTGGAAATTAAATTTTCGTAAATACCTTACTTATCATAAAATATTCTGCTTGAGATTGTTGAATTAAAAATGTTTGCTGTTAATCAAAAAAGTAAAAACAAAAAATGATTTGTTGAAAACCAGTAAGTATATAATATATATTATATTGCTTTAATGACTTAAAATTATATAAATATACATATTTCCAAAAACGTTAATACTCTGCTTCTCTGCGACAAAATGAATGTTTATTCTCAAAAGGAACACTTTTTATAAGGTATAATATTATATACTATAGAGTATATATAGGACCATATAAGAATATTATACTATAGGGACCACGAAACTGTTAAAAATCAAAAAGTAATAGAAACTTCTGCTGCTGCAGCGAGGAGACATGAAAAATACTAGAAAATTAATGGACGTTGAGTTGAAAGAGTGAAAAAAACATAGCATATATATATATTCGTGTGTGGTGTAGAATATCAGTACAAAAAGAACCAAAAATGGTAGATTCTACTGCAGCTGAAGGATATAGAACAGCTGTACTGCAGTGAACGTCTGCTGCAGCGAAGGTTGTTTAAAACCATATGATTTCGTATATTATACCATGCATACTACAGGTACGCGGCTACAGTACGTACAATAATATTATGGTAAACGCATATGTTGATTCCGTGCATTTATGCTAATTATACAGTTTTTGTTTACAAACATTCACGACGTAAATAAAAGCACGTTAAGGAAGGCTGCATTATACATCACAATTATATCATAATATATATGTACATCGAAACCTCTAAATACCGGACACTGTCGGTCGCTGATATTTTGGTTCACTATTCGAACATGTCTGCTTTCAGTGTGCGTAGTTTTTTCCAAAACAAAATACACCCGCTATCTGAGGGTACATGCTATTTTGAGGTGATGTTTGTTAGGGTGGTTATAATATATATGTAACCGGCAATATGAATAATTCAGGTATTTTGAAAAATGCCTAGGCATTATGTATACTGCTGACCCATTTTAGGTAATGTAAATAAAACATATGATTTTAAATATTATTTTATATATAACCTAGGTGTTGTATGAAATACCTAGGCGTTATGTAAAATACCAATTTTTTTTAGGCAAAGTAAAAAACAATTTATCATATGTTATAATATTATATTAAGATTTTTATAATTATAATATATTATTACTCATATTACAAAATCTAATTTTTATATACTATTATATTTTTATACATAGGTATTGCTATATTATTAATATTATTGTTATATTGAGTACTATTATTTATACATTTTACTTACTACTATCTACTTTTTACTAAATGTTGTGGAAAAATGGCATTTTGAAGTGCAAAAAAACATTATTTTTAAGGCATTTTTATTTTGATACTTGATCATACAACACACATTTTAAAAATCATTGGCTAGTTCCTGTCGACTGTTCCTTTGCGACTGCTCTTAACGCCACTTTTGTGCCTGTTGGAACATTGTAAATTTGTAGTAGCTTTTTTTGAGATACAGTGAACTGACTTCTGGCGTATCTCTGCTTCAGAACTTTCAATCTTCATTGCACCAAATCGTGCACACGCGGACACGGTGCGTGCATTCACGATAAACTATAACTTGTACCCAATTTGTTTATTTTTATCATATTTCCTACTCCACCTTGGGCATTGTACATAATACCTAGGCAAAGCTTGTATTATGTCTATTTCCGAGTGATTTTTGGCATTTTATATAATTCCTAGGTATTTTGTAAAATACCCGATTCTCCATATTGCCGGTAACATATATATATGTTTCTTATAATATAACACGTGAAACACTAAACACATCATATAATGTATAAGTTTTGTTATTTTGTATACTCTGTAAAATAAAATGTTTATAAGTGCCATGTGGCTCGAAACAACTTATAATATAGTACAAAGACACAAAACGGTATAACACGAGAATAAGTTTTAGTCGTGATATGAATATATTATGATGGCCATATATACATGACGAGTGCAGTCGGTTATTCGGATCAAAACGTAACGGTTAAATAGCTGGGAATGTCAACGACTGCAGCGATTTATTACGTACATTTTGTTAATGGAGACGATGAGCGAGTAAAAAGGAAAAAGTAAAAAAACATCTTTTCAGGAAACGATAAAAAAAAGTCTCATTATATTTTTATTGAGTTAAGTTAAGGGTTTTTTCATTCATAGCTAGTTAAAACGACGTCGTACCCGCATGGTGTGTTATTGTCTCCATCTTACTAACGCATGTCACATACGTATATAACATACCAAATTTTACTTTCAGAATAATCCAATTCATAAACTGTTATTTTAATATCACTGAAGTTGTTCTCTTCAACAAGTCACCAATCGTGTCCCCCTAGTATGGCAGTCCCTGCAGCACTTCATTTAATTGTGAAATGCTCATAACTCGCTTCGAATTTAAAATATACATAGGTCCCTAGATAATCATACTTTTAAATAACATAATGATTTGTCGATTTACTCTATAATACTGAAAAAATAAAAAAATGGGTACCTATACCAATAAATTATGTTGAACGAAATTGTTGGTATGTTACGCGTTTGTAAGACGAAGACAACATGGCACGTGGGTACACTTAATAAGGATGTTGAAGTCTGCCATTTATATTAGGAGGCAAAAATGCAGATAACTTCTAGTTATACGTTGTACGACGATCATCCACGCCTGAAAAAATCAAATCAAATAATTTCAACGATCAATAACTTTATAGAAAAAACAATCCTACCATGTAAAATATTAGGATTTTAATAAACAGTAGATTCTCGTTATGTGGAACCTCTAGGGGAACACTAAACAGAAAAAAGTTCGAAGTATCGAAAATAAATACTGAACATTATTTTCGATACTTCGAACTTTTTTCTGTTTAGTGTTCCCCAGAGGTTCCACATAACGAGAATCTACTGTTTATTAAAATCCTAATATTTTACAAGGTAGGATTGTTTTTTCTATAAAGTTATTGATCGTTGAAATTATTTGATTTGATTTTTTCAGGCGTGGATGATCGTCGTACAACGTATAACTAGAAGTTATCTGCATTTTTGCCTCCTAATATAAATGGCAGACTTCAACATCCTTATTAAGTGTACCCACGTGCCATGTTGTCTTCGTCTTACAAACGCGTAACATACCAACAATTTCGTTCAACATAATTTATTGGTATAGGTACCCATTTTTTTATTTTTTCAGTATTATAGAGTAAATCGACAAATCATTATGTTATTTAAAAGTATGATTATCTAGGGACCTATGTATATTTTAAATTCGAAGCGAGTTATGAGCATTTCACAATTAAATGAAGTGCTGCAGGGACTGCCATACTAGGGGGACACGATTGGTGACTTGTTGAAGAGAACAACATTCTTTAGGTTGCAATGAACCTTGATTGTTGAATTAACATAAAATATAACGTTAAACAAAAACATTTCAAAGGAATCAACATCAGGTATTTGTGATGTATATGCGTATGTATAGACTTACAATTTCCATAAAAACAGAGCTGTAAAATCTGACTACAAACAACCTGCAGCCCAATACACTTTTCACAAATATTTAAAAAAATTAATTGAGTAAGAGTTTTCATGTTAGGCAAGTTCAAACGCATATTGGGTCCAACACCCTTAAGATAAAAAACGATATGGCAGTCGGACAAGACTACGTAAAATTATGTTATTTCAATGAAATATGGCCAAAATTGACTTGTTTCTTTCTGCCCGCACACCGACAAAATTGTGTATCATTATTACCTTTTTCGCGTTACTTGTAAAACCACAAACGTTAAACCACGCGACCGGTCGTATATTATCGACGTTACCGAATCTCCGTATAACACGTGCCCGTCTCGTGCCGAAACATACACAATAATATATACGTGTGTGCGGTGTTTCAAAACGATCGGCATAAGATACGACCCTCAAACGGATCGGTCGATGGCCGACTACTGTCCAGATATACATATACATATAGTCGTATAGGTATTGTGTGCGTATATACATGTATATGTATATATATATATATATATATATAATACCAATGATGCTGGACGGCCCTTTGATGAGTGCCGAATATTTGTTCACGTCCCATTGCCCTCGGGCCCTTCTCAACACCCCCACCGCCCCCGCCACCGCCAACGCCGCAGACACGCGTATTTATATGACGTATATATAGGTACGCAGGAGGAAAATGTATTATTTTAATAAAAAGATAATATATATACGCGGCAAGTGTGCCGGGCACGTGTTTTCTTTCATTCCGATTGTCGCCCCCAGCAGGACGTATGTAGTATACATATATGCGTTTTTTTCCAGCTGGTACATGTGCGTGTGCATTATATATATATAATAAAAATAATAATGATAATAGAATATAATATAATATATGATGTGATATATTGCGCAAAGATATATTACATTACAAACGAAATTCCTCAGTTAAAGGTGCGCGTGCTCTTCGTGGACGGTGAACGGCTGACACGCGTATAGGTACCTACGACGTCCTACGTTGTTTTCGTCGTTTTCGAATAGGATGACGAGGTGTATATACACGCGTATTATAGCTATATTCCAAACGCGACATATCAAAAAGATTCGATGGCGATATCATCAGAGTATTATTTTGGAACCAGAAATTTGTTCCAAGACAATTGCTCAAGACTTGGTTGTGTCACATATTATAATATAATTTATCGTATGAAATGAAAAAAATAAGGAAAAAGGTACGTATAATATGACTAATAATCGAAATGAATCAGACATTAGTAAAGAAGCATAGTACAATAATGATAATATTTATTATTTAGGCATGGTCGATTGTAGAGGACCACACCCGCATATTTTTTCCCGGTCTTACAAAAGCACAACACAACACATTTTGAATTCAACAGAACCAATTTTGTGTTGTTGAGATAGATTTAAAGTGAATTGACAAAACTCAAAGGTAATAAGGATAATGATTTTTCACTTAATTTTTATAATAGGTAAATAATTCACACTAACATTAAACTAATATTAACAACACAAAACGGTTCAGCTGAACGCACATTATGTATGTTATACGCACTTGTGTGACAATACTGTGCAGTCTGACGCCTGGCGAGACGTAGAATCGACCGAAATCGCCCAAAAACACTTGTCGAAAACACATCTACGAAATATATAATAACAAAATATGTGATTTGTTTCAATGCGTTTTTAACAGACATTTGAAAACCCGTAGCGTGGCTCAGAAAGTGCTAAATTCCTATAGATAATTAGGGAACAAATTATATATTTATTTATGAATTTATTTAATATAATGTTTGATCATTTTGAAATATGTTCAGAATGAACATTTTTTCTATATATTATCTAGGAAACCGTGTTCCAAAAAATACTTTTAAAAGCTATTTAATTTTGGTATTTTAAACCATTGCTCATTGTATGGTTATGAAAAATGAGAACGACGTCTACAATTATTTTCTAATGCACTTTCTGCATGCACGCTTTTCTAACTGAAAACTGTAATACTTTAAGAATTCTACGGAACTTCAAAATATTATTGAAGAAACTGTTTTATTAGGAAGTAGGCTGTATTTAATTTTAATCTGTATTGCATTTATAGATTTACTTTAGAATTATTTAAAATTATATCAAGAGCAATAACTATGACAACACGTGATGCTGCACGGAGAGTACCGTTGTCGGTTGGAAAAATATTACACGAGTAATATCGAGTAATATATGTATAAAAAAAACATTGGCGATCCACTGAAATCAAAAGAGAGAATAATAAAACTATAAAAACATAAAGAAAACGAAACAATAATGTATTCAATATTGCTGATATACCTATATTCTGGTTTTGAAACTCGCACAGCATTGATCATTGGGCTTATGCGTACGCATATTTATGGACATGGACTAGAAGAGAAAGTATTTCCACCAAGTTCAGACGGTTTAGATCCAATTGATGTTATACTCTCGGCTCTCGCAATTGAAAACATAATTATTCAGATTCTTGGCAGTTAGCACTGTTCGCAGCACACGCTTATTATAGTTACCTACCAATAACACATTATTATAATGGTTCACTAAACATATTAAAAAGTATAAATTTATAAATTTATCAACTTAGTTATAACATTTTTATTTAAAAATTGAAAATATTATACACAGAGCGGATTGACACATGAAATCTTAACAGTGCGTAACAACGTATAATACTATTATCTATTATATATATAAGTGTTGTTTACGTCTTATAAAAGAGTTAATTGATACATTACCAAATTGTAAGGTCGGTAGGTAGGTAAGAATATTAACAAGAGTTAACTTGGGTTTTAATGATATTTAAATTTTAAATCAATTAAAAAAAACAAAGCGGTAAATAATTACTCCGATATTAAAGCCAACATCACAAAATTGGTGCCTCTAATCACAAATTTACCATGTTATACCTTAAAAAAAAGACGGAGACAACTCATACGGGTACAGAGTGTTTTAATGTCCACTTAAATTATAGATGCATAGTACAGAATTACTCGAATCAATTGTTTATGAAAATGATTAAGTTCAAAAAGTATTCATACGTAAACCAAATCTTTGAATTGTCGTGTACTTGAACTATCATACGAATTTGACTCATTTCAAAAGTAAACGATGCATCATAATAATATAGCCAGTCAGACAAATAACATTTTTTTTTTATAAGAAATTTTCTAAAATATTGTAACATTTCATAAAAAAATTCGATTCAATTCTAATATCAAAGTTCACTTTTTTATAATATTATTCTATTTCAAAAAAAAAATTTTACTTTAGTTGCATTATTATTAGAAATCGCGACGAGAAACTAAACGGTCGTCATATAATATAATTTCTCGTTTTCGTACGAAATAGCCATCTCGTTTCTCGACAAATAAGTGATTATGATGATAATTTTTTAATAAAACGTTATTATTTATTACGATCCACGCGCGTGGTTAAAGTAAAACAACGACGGCGATATAGTGTCATGGTGCGATAGTCACACACGACACATTATAATATTATTGAAGACGACGAATGTATTAATATGTATAGTATTATTGAAGATAATCGCCGTTCGGTGACCGGAATCGACAAAATCCAAATAAGCTACATTATAGCATCAGTCGGACCGGGAGGACGTGTGCCGCCGAGAGAAGCGGTGCCGGCGACGGCAAACGGTCGTCGCGGAAACGGAAACGGTCTGACGGTGGCGTGCGCCTAGAATATTTAATTGGGCCGAAACTTCCGAATTCGATCGCACACGACATTCGGAAACTCAGCGGGTCCGGCGGCGCGACATCCGGCAGTGTACGTCGTCGTAGGTACACGATCGCGGTATCGACCGAAAATAAAACGACGATGACGACGACGACGACGACGACGATGAAGACGACGACGGTCGGTAAACGCGTGGCAGCGGATGGTATTATTGTGCGATATTATAATACGCGAGACGATGTTATTATTATTGTGTTTTTCTGGTTTCAAAGGTATAAAACCGTATTTTCGGGGGACACGGTGAATCTGCCGGGTGTCAGGTAAAGACACGGTCGTCGTTTCGGCGACTATATAGGTATAGTATAATACATATACACGTTGTTTACGATATATAACCGTATTTATTATATATAATATAATGTAGGTAACGTGTGTAAGATTGAC